TTCAAGGCACAATGAAGCCACTTATTATCTGTGTGACTTAAGGCACATTACTTAACCTCTAAAGCTTCCATTTCTACTTCTTTAAAAAAAAAAAAAAAGAGGAATACTGCTACCCTTCTTCTACCACTGTTGGGAAGAGAGAGATAATTAACCTAGAGTAACTAAAGTAACTAGGACCTACCTGCCATAGCATAACAACTAATATAGCTACCACTATAAGGGTAACTAGCATAATTTTTATGGTACTTAACTTATAAGGTAACTGCAAGGATCAAACATGGTAACTTAAGAACATAGAGAAAAGTTTTAATGACAATATAATGGTGAATTGCTGCCAAAGCTTACTTGTCCATCATTTGAAATAGAAGAGACAAATTTATATCCCTCAATGTTTCAGGAGCTCTGTGGTTTTCTATTTCAAATAAAAGAGTTGTTTAAGTTTCTCTAGAGCCTGTGTTTTAAATTGCATAAGCTCAGTGATATTTTTAAAGTATTCAATTTTCATTAGATACAGAAACAATTCCATCTAGAGGTTTAAATTTAAAACATTTTTAATGGCTAATGGGAACATATACATTAGTGCATATTTCAGTACTAAACTACTGTCACATATCCTTTATTAGCTATCACTTATTTTAAATATTCTCATAACAGGCTTCAAAGTTGACATTTTTCTCCCAGTTTATAGGTGAGGAAATAGACTGGTATTAAATAACCTTCCCAAGCTCACAGAGATGGTGAGTGGTGGTGTTTGCACTAGAAAAATGACCTGATATTCCACAGCCAGCTAACTGCCATTACACTTGACCACAAAGTTTTTAAAATATATAATGCTACTAATGTTTTTTGTTGTTTCAAAAATTACTATTACAAATAAGATTACTATTACAAATACCAAATATGTACATACAAACAATCACAATATATGATCATCAGTAACTCACGTAGCCAAACTACAGCTATCCCTGCATTGCTCACAGTTACAGCTCCTCAAGGTTTAGGAACTGGTTTTAACTGTTTCATCTCATGATTTAAAAAAAAAAAAAAAAAAAAAAGGACTCCATTCCATAGACATGATACTAGTAGCAAGAACAAACTGGGGCACTGACAGAACAGTTGTTTTAGTACTTAGTCAAAATCTGCTACCAGCACTGAGGACTAATTCAGAGATCTGGCAACAGAAATGGCAGAAGTGACAGGAGAGACCTCTGTTAGATATCAGAATGCTTAAGAGAAATAGTTTTCACTTCAACACAAATAAGTACATTGAATGGCAAAACGTGTATCTCAGAGAAACCATAATTTTACAGGTATTTTATTATTTTAACTCAAAGCAACAAGATTGTGACTTAGAACTAAAGAGTAGGCTGCTGCAGTTTGAGATTTAATATGCCAGAGTTGAAACCAGTTAGAATTCTCTAAGTACCATTTCTTGATTGTTTACTTACCCCATCACCCTCCAAAATAGGTACTATTATTATTATTGCCATTTTACAGATAAAGAAATTGAGGCTCAGAGGCTAAGTGTCTTAAATCACATAGTTAATAAGTGGCAGAAAGGAATCCTTTCTGAAGAAAAGTTAGGTTAAGACATGATCAAGGAATATGTTTAATTTCTGAATATACATTCTTCCAGCACCCAATCACTGTTTAGAAAAATTGTCAAGTTAATCTAGAAGAGAGGTTCTCAACGCGTAGTCTAAGGAGCCCTAGAAGTCCCCAAGAGTATTTACAGGGGAGTCCATGAAGTCAGAACTATTTTCATAATGATATATAAACTTTAATTGCCTTTTTCATACTCATTTTCTCACAAATGAACAATACTTTTCTGAACGCTACATGAACTGTAGTATCATCACAGATTGAATAAAGCAGCAGATATGAGAATCTACCTATCTGTGATCTAGCCAAATACTGAGATTCACAAAAATATAGAACAACGTCACTATTCTCACTAATTTTCTTTTGGAAAATACAGTTATTTTGCATTAGAAAAATAGGCCATTTATGTTAACATGTAATAGATTTACCACTACTTCTAAATGAATATTTTAAATTTCTTAGTTTTAATTTCTAACCAACATAATGGATCCTAAATAGATACTGAGTATAAGAGGTCCTGACACCAAAAGGTCTGAAAACCACTGACCTAGAATAATAAAACTTCCCACTGAAAATATATAGAATAACAGAGCTGAGATGTACTTTATATTCTTTTAAACTGATCATTTGACAATCTTAAGACATTTTCCTTATGATTAGGTATCAATTTTTATACACACCATCAACAATTTAATCACACAAAGTTCTAAAGTGAACTGATCCTTATCACATATTTACATACATTACATGCATTTTTTGCACATATTATATACAGCTATCTCAAATATATTATATATAGCACATATACAGGTAATATATGTGAGATATATGTAAAACAACCAAAGGCTAAACTTCATTTTAAATAATCTGAACATAGGCAAGAGCTAAAAAACCAATTTTTGAAGTGCCAAAAATTTTACTCCTTTGGTTTAAGTAATAATGGTCTATAATTTAGTATATTTATTTCTCTTCCTTGGGAAAAGAAAAAACCTAACTATAGTTTAATAGAAAGCTATTTTTCATTAAGTGTTCCTACTTTCACTTTATTACCCAGTTGAGTGCATAGGAGTCTGGAGTAATTTTCTTTGTATCAAGAAAAGAACAAAGCTCAGGCTCATGATATTGGATGAGTAATCGGAAAAGATGAAATGGTCTTCCCTTCAGAGAACAATCCCTAAAAGAAAGAAAGGCAAGGTTTTTGCATTAATGGGTCAGAAATGGTCATACTAGTAACCAGTCCTCCTGCAATACCCACTTCTTCCCCCCACCCCCAAAACACCTGAACTTCACAGCATTCATAACAAAGCCTATCTGATACAATCAGGTTCAGAACACCTAATATACTCGACTTGACAGAAAGTTTGTAGAAACAGTAGGTCTACAGCTAACTCTAGGGAGATTCTCTCCAGGTAAACCCAGGTAGCACTCAAACAAAAGGACTGCAGGGACCACTGAAAACAGCAGTACCATTTAGGTTATTTTGATAAGTTCTGGATCCCAAAAGGATATCTACAGAGTTCCAAAGAAGTCCAGCCCTCTTCTTCCCTACCAAATAAGAGGAAACTTAGGAAGGCTTCTGGTTAGCTCCACAGTTAACATATTCAAGTAGGAATGTCCTTTAACAAAGGTAAAAGTGTGAAATGGCCACAGGTGAACAAAATACTGGACCAGAGCCTTAGAAGCTGTTGAAATGGCCTGGGTACTAGTGCTCAGAATGAATTCCAAGAGGTACAAAACACTTTATGAAGCAAGTGTACTATTTCTTTTCTTCTTCCCTTGTATCTAATGATTCAATAAAAATGTAAACAGCTCCAAGTACAGGCCATCTCAATAAAAGTATTTATTGAGAAAATATCATGTGCCAGACACTGTAACAGGCACTCTACAAGGTTATCTAATTTTATCTTTACAAGCAACCCTATGAAATAGTTACTATTTTTTCCCTCATTTTACAGATGAGAAAACTGAGGCTTAGCTGTGGGCAAGTAGCTCACCCAAGATCACAGAAGTCAGTTAAGACCTCTACACAGAAACTGCGTTAAACGACCATGCCATACTACACTTCACTATATATAATTTGGTATTTCGACAAGTGGTATTTTGGTATGGGTAGAGTCTCTAAAAAAACAAATTGTAAAGCAACTGAAATGAAGTAAAACGCTTCATGTGAAAAAGCTAATGAAATGAATGTCACAATTTTGACATAAAAGCACTCTGATAAAGAATGCTGGCAAATGCTATTTAAGTGGGAATACTGAAAAATTCCCACATTCATCTCAGAGATGAATGCCAGGATTTGGAATGAACCTCTATCTACCATTTTTTTGATACTGTAAATGACAGGGATGTTTTGTAGAGAAAGCCCTAGGTTGTTAATTCAGATGCCCAGAGACAGAACCGGATTCAAACTGGCAAGATTACCTCCTCCTCAGAAGAACTGTATTAGTTAAAGCACAGGTGACCATCCACACTTAGGTTCAAAACTTGACTCAAACATACACCAGAAGTGTAATCCTGAGTAGGTCTTTAATCTCTCTTTGCCTCAGTTTTTGTAGTTGTAAATCAGGGATAACTACCCTTCAGTGGCCATTGTTTAAATGAGAAAACACACAAAGCACCTGCATTTAGTATAATGTGTTGTCACAGAAAGCAGTAAAAAATGGTAGTCATTTAACTACCAAGCTCCAGAATAGTAGATCTCTACTTTGGCTACATATTGCAGTCAGTTAAGAAGCTCTGAAAAAACAATGATGCCTGGGTGCCCTGCTCAGAGATTTGATAATCAGGTACACAAACAGGCCGCAGGATTTTTCAGAGCTCCCTCAATGATTCCAATGTGCATCCACAGTTCACTGTGTGGCCAAACCACTGGTCTAGGTTATGTCAAAAGTTCCTTTTGGTTCTGAAATCCTGACTACCTGATCCACAGCACTGGGAAGTACAAGAATTCTCTCTGGCCTCATGAGTGCAGTCCCTGTACTCCCTTCCCCAGCCTCCCTGCACCGCCCCCCCCCACCTCAACTATCTAAACATCTACCTATCTATTCTCAGCCTAAGCGTCACTTGCCCAAAAAAGCCATCTCTGACCTCCAGGGCAAATTAGGTCACCCTCAGTAAATATTCCAATAGCATTCTAGGGGCACCTGGGTGGCTCAGTTAAGTGTCCAACTCTTGATTTAGGCTCATGTCATGATCTCAGGGTTGTTGAGATTAAGCCCTGTGTCAGACTCCACGCTGGGCGTGGAACTTGCTTAAGATTCTCTCCCTCTCCCTCTGCCCCTCCCACCGAAAAAAAGTAATTCCCATAGCATTCTATATTTCATCTTCCTAACACTCAGCACACTTCTAATTACCTGTTCAATGCCTGCATATCCAAGATTACACTCCAAGCTATAATACCAGCACTTCACTTAAGGAAGCACTCTAAAAATTTTACATTCCATATAGACATTATAATGTTATTTTTATTTTATAAGGAAAGAAATTAAAATAGGGATACTACGAAAAAATTGGCATAAACTCTACAAGCATAAATTCTTAACTGAAGAATCCTTTAAAAAATGTCTATAACCACAAAAATAAAGTCAAATAACCATTAAGACTCAAACAACCCTAAAAATTATTTGAACCTCTTACTTTACCACCAAAGTAAATCTAACAACTTTAGTTCAAAGCAAACTAGACCTTTCCTCATTTTTTAAACTATTATAACTAAATCGTATTTTACCTGGGAATGTACTTATTCATGATAGCATAAAAGCAGTTGTACAAATCGCTGCGTGGCAGTTGAAGATGCACCAACGGTTTCAGTAGATGTATCCAGCTAAGGGATGTGCTGTATTTAATATTACGTGATTTACAGTAAAAGGTAATTACAGATTCAATATCCAAAAGTAATTCTGTTGCCTTCTCTTCTGGCACTGAAAGCTGTTCTAGAAAAGAAGTGTCAAAATTAAGTTGCCAAGGGCCTGTTAGAAACTTCATTATTGCACATAACACTTGTTTACAAACATATGATACTATCTTAATATATTTGGAGCATGAAAAGGACAAAATAAAACTACATGAAAGCACATGTTTCCTTATACTTATCCAATATTTACTAGCTAGTCGATATTTACTAACTCAATAATACTTAACCTATATATATATGTTAAACAAAGAATGGATAATCTGAAGTAGAAAGGTAGGAAAGATAGGCTTAACCCATATTCCTGGAAAGCAAAAAGGGTTTTTTCTAAACAACAGATTATCATCTACCCCATGATGGGCAGCTGCCGCTATAGCTTTGTCAGGGAAGGTGATTCATTCTCTACTACCAAATTCCCTTTCCTTTGCACACACCAGCAATAATGTTTCTGCTGTGGTTAGTACACAAAAGCTTATCTAATCAAACCTTAACTAAAATGTGATGAAAGAGCAACAGAAAGACACCAAAGACTGTAGATGAATTTAAAAATACAAACTAAATTCATTTAATCTTGAAAAAGACCTTGTCGAGTGATTGGAAATCTTTCACTCATGACTGACAATAGTTTTTTTATAGCAGATCATTACCTATGATGTATAGATAAACTTTTGGAACACAGACCCCTTTAATGTGGAGACTATATACAATCATACAGATCTTTACACAAAAAACAATTTTAAAACTGTAAAGGTACCTGAAGAACTGAACATATAATAAAAAAAAAAAAAGACCCTAAAAATTGGACTCTCCTTTTTAAAAATACTAGACATTACTTCATAAGAATTTCAAAAGAGAAGTTCTAAAACTATTTATCAGCCCTTCACAAATACAACATATCCCAAATTATAACAAGATGATACTAATAGGGTAACTCCTTTACCTCAAAATATTATTTTCGAATTTTTCACTGTTTGAAAACAATTATTAAACTTACCAATAAACTCAAGACAATCTTTGTGAATAGCATTCTGTTCTGGCAAGTCTAGAATACCATCCCATGATGCCAAACTATCACCTTTTCCTGCAACATTTAGAGCAATCTGGAAGAAAGGTAAAAGCAACTAGCTTCATATGTCATTTCTCATTCTTGGAAAAAACGCTGTAATAATGGAAAGTCCTGAATTTAGAAATAATAATGCATACTTCTAAGATTACAAAGTAATGTACTTATGCTCCACCAAATGTTGATCCCTTAAGTCAGATCACAATGAACACAATTATTTTAAATCTTCCTATATTAAATTTTACTACTTCATACCAATCTAGTGAATAGCATATATAAATTTATTTCAAGCAAACATCATCAATGCTATAGACTGAATGTTTGTGTCCCCCCACAAAATTCATTGTTGAAACCTAATCCCCAATATGATGTTATTTAGAGATGAGGCCTTTGGGAGGTGATTAGGTCATGAGGGTGGAGCCCTCATAATGGAATTAGTATCCTTATAAAAGAGACCCCAGAAGGAGCCCCTATCCCTTCAGACATGTGAGGACACATTAAGGATTCACTGTTTTTTTTCAGTTTAATGGTATTATGGTTATTTTAAAAGTCTTTATCTTTTAGACTTTCATAGTAAAGTATTTTAGTGTTCTACCAAGGATTTACTTTAAAATAATCCAGTGGGTGGAGTAGGGAGGAAAAGATGGAGATGCTAATCAAACAAGATTTTCCAAATGTTAACAGTTAAAGCTAAGTGATAGGCCATGGGGGTTCATTATACAAGTCTCCACTTTTGTGTTTTCAATTTCTATAACAAAACATTCAGACTTCTATATACAGTTATAATTCCATTTCTGTTACATATATATGTGCAGAGAAGAAAAAAATAAAAAGATATATACCAAGACATAATTATGTGTTTTACCTAGGTGATAGACAGCAGATGATTTTTATCTTATCCTATGCTTATATATTTTAACAAAGATGAGTATTTCTTTTGCAGTCATAACAAATCGTAATTTAAAATTTAAAAAAATGGTAATACACATGCACTGGAGAACAGCTGAAGAGGAAAATAAAGCAAAGTAAAATATCCTATAATTCCAACACCCAGAGAGACCTATGTCCCCTCCCCACCTTGTCTTTAACATAGCTGAGGTAATTCCAGCTGCTATTATAAATCTTATTTTACTCATTGGCTGCATTTTCCCATTTCATAAAACAATCTTCATAAACATCATTTTTAATAACTACAAAAGAAAAACACTGTCTTTTAAAACCTAAATTATTAAATAACCAAACATGACAGAAACACACATTTCAGTAAGTTGCACTATTCAATAAATTCTCTAGATGCAGCAAGCTCATAAGATGATAAAGTTTTCTGCAGCTTAAACAACTGAACATAAAAATCCTCAAATGTTATTCTTAAGTGATTAAGTTTTAGTTTCCAGTTACCTTCCAAACTTTGGCCCTCAGATCAGCAGGCAGTGGTCTCCCTTGAATTATATTTCTCAAAGTTTCAAGATCACAACCTCCTGCTTCCAGAGCTTCTTCAAGATCTTTTTCCCTAAAAAAACAAGTCCTTAATAGATCAGTTTTACTTCTTATTTTATAAGCATGGCCTGTCAAAGATTGTGTCTATGAAAAGAAGGTTCTCAGCAGCCAAAATGTAATGTCAAAGCATACACGGCATTTTATCTGCTTGAAAGGGAACCTCAGGTTTCGTGCAATTGACTCTTACTTTGCATTTAGTTCTAACAAGATTAAAGAAATTTAAAAAGAGAAGACAGGGCAAGCAAGCTGACAGCACTGAAAAGTCACAATAATAGCAACTATTCGTGGTAATAGTAATGACTAACACTTTATATAGCACTATCTTTGTACCAGGCACTGTTCCAAACACTGTGCCTGTGTTTTTTTAATTCTCACAACAACCCTATGAAGTAACCACAATCATCACTGGCCCCAGTTTACATATGTAAAAGTTGAGGCAAAGAGGAGTTATACAGCTTATGATCACTTATCAAGTAAGTACTAGAGCCAAGATTCAAACTTTAACAGTTGGGTTCCAGAATTTATGTTCTTAATATTATGTTCAATGGTGGCAAGGAGGAGAAATCATGAAATCCAGCCAAGAATTCAAAGCACTGCAGTATGGGAATAGTTAGTACATAACATCATGCCTAGGGCAGTGCCTGGCTTACAGTGTCCAATTAATGTTAGAAGAACAAAAAAGCTCTAATGGCATCACTGTATTATAAAGCAAAACAATACAATCATCAAGCAGTTATGCTCAGTCTACTATGTTTAAAAAGAAAATTAAACACGAAATAAATTTTGTTTGTATATAGTTAAGAAGAATATATTTTAAAAAAACTCTCACAAATGTTATGAATTGATTTTTAGCCACAAAATAACCACTTAAAATAAGGAATTCCCCCAGAATTCTCAAAAGCTGAAGTTTCACTCTTTATTATTTTAATATACAATACATAAAAAAATCTATACAAATAAAAATCCACAACTCAGCCAGACAATTTCTAAAATTCTTTAAAGCAGCCCAAAAGGCAGTCTCCCACTACAATCAGGAAACCAAGATTTTGTCACATTTTTGTGTGTATAGGTGGTTTTGAGAAAAATAATTTACTCCCATTCCACATTCTCTCAATAAGACAAGGTTAATCTCCCTTAATGATAAGATTCCAAAAATACTAGTTTAAATGTATAAATTTTTTTTAAGATTTTATTTATTTGAAAGAGAGAGGGAACACAAGCAGGGGGGAGCGACAGGCAGAGGGAGAGGGAGAAGCAGGCTCCCCGCTGAGCAGGAAGCCCAACATGGGGCTCCATCCCAGGACCCTGGAATCATGACCTGAGCCGAAGGCAGACACTTAACCAACTGAGCCACCCAGGTGCCCCTAAATGTATAAATTTACTAAAGTGTTGCCCTCTTAAGAGGAAGGAATTAAATGAAAATGTAATCATTTGGGATCATATTCAACACAAATGTAGTGATCAAATTTGAGAGATTTCTTAACAAAACTACTACAAATTCGTAAGAACAAGAAGATAACTAGTAGCCACACAAGAAACATCTTGTTCTTTTGCTCTATGGTCACCAAAGTGTTGGAGGAGAAAGTGAGGGAAAGAGATTTCAAGTCTGCTGTTGAGAAATTATGCAGGACTGTAAGTTGATAAAGAATGGGGTTTATATCTATTATCTTCTGGCCAAAATGTACGAGAGCACCTGTTAGAATTTGAAAATTGTTTGTGACCGTGAAGCAAAATTTAATGTGATCTTTGATGAATAAATGCCATATTTTTAATGATTAAGTATGGAAATGAACTGAAAACACCATTGCATAAGATGGAATTCTTCTACCAAATAAATGAAGAACTAGAATTTTTCCATTTTTCAGTGCAAAAATCCTGGGTTTCTTTTTGAAGTAACCTTGCCAAATCCCTTACTATTCCAGACAAAAAAGTCAGTATTTTGGGGCAAAATGCCCAACCCTCAACATACTTTTTAAATCATAATAATGTACAAGCACATCCCTGTTGATACAGCTGCTGTTGGATTCTTTGATACTGCCCCCAGGGAACCATAAACGTGGTCTCCAGCAGTACAACCATAAGCAAGAAACCAGAAAATGCTCCAACTTAAGTACTAAAAGGAATTTCTCACAAACTAAATAATTAAAAGTAACATTATCTTCTGAACAAGGTATTCAAAAGTTCAGTTATCAGACCTTCAACATTACAAATGCACTTGTAAAATTAGGAAAAGAGTTGAAAATAGTGAAGTTAAATAATTCATGTAAGGCTCAAGTTCCTATCAAGACACAGGAACTCTATGGCACTTAGCTCTCAAATAGAATTTTCCTTCCCCTAAACCAAGTTTCCTCCTACTTCTGAATAAGCAACACCTACATTCAAAAGCAAGATGCATGTCTGGTGGAGTATGATTGGGTATTTTGTGGTTTTTTAAATCTTCTTTGATGATGGTAGCTTCTTACTGACCTCACAAGCTAAAGGTTGGTAGAAATGTACTACACATTCAGGCAGGTCCTAAAATAGAAAAGTACAGGCCTTGTCCATTTATCCTAGTTAAGTCTGAAAAATAATTGTCTACTTTGCTCAGAAGGTTCATGGCAAAATAAATTCAAAGCTTTGGGGTTGCAGAGTAACAGAAATGCGTCTCTTCCCAGTTCTGTGACACTGAAACCATATTTATTAGTATAATACTAGAGATTACTGCTGATGAGTCATCAATAACATATTTTCAAAACCTAAATAAAACATAATAGAATATCCCCTCACCTGATGTTCTGTGGAAAAATCACCTAATCTAAGCATTGTAACCCAAGTTGTTTTAGAATTATAGCAAGGCAAACAACGTAACTACATTCATATGAAGTTAATTTAATGCTTATTCAAGCTACCAACTAAGTAAGATTTTTCTTCTTCAACCAAATGGTAACTTCTAGCATACGGAAGCATTTGCACAATGCAAGTTAAGAGGGCATGGTGGTGGGAGAGGGGGACATGAATTTTCAAGCACTACCAAATTAAATATGGATTTCTAAATGCTTCTAGGATTAATAAATTCAATTTGAAATTCTGTACATAATTATTTTATGAGTAAGCCATACAATGAATCCATTTGAAATTATAATTTTTAAAAGCAACTAGATTATATATGTTGTGCTCCTAAAAGTTAAAAAGTCATAGAAAATCTGCCACGGGGGTTGGGGGGGACTATATATTACACTTTTTTTTTTTTAAGATTTCATTTATTTATTTGTGATAGAGACAGAGAGAGCACAAGCAGGGGGAGGGGCAGAGGAAGAGGGAGAAGTAAGCTCCCGTTTAATGGGGAGCCTGATGCAGGGCTTGATCCGAGGATCCTGAGATCTTGGCCTGAGCTGAAGTCAGACCCTTAACTAACTGAGCCACCCAGGTGCCCCTACACTATTTTCTAAATTGTTTTTCCCCAACCATGTTCTAAAAACTTCTTTTCCCTATAATTTAAAAAACTGATGGAAACTTTAATTGTATATATTCCAAACACAAGATGAAAACAAGATTTAGTTCATCTCTCTCTTCTTTTTTTAACGTATACCTTTCTGCACTCAAACTCCATATCCATTATCATCAACCATTCTCCACTCCTCCTCACCTGGCTCCCAGCCTCTGACAACCACTGACTTACTTTCTGTCTCTACACATTTACCTATTCTGGACATTTTATTTTATTTTTTAAAGTTTATTCATTTTTAAGTAATCTCGACATCCAACATGGGGCTCGAATTCACAACCCCCAAATCAAGAGTCACATGCTATGCTCTCCCAATTGAGCGAGCCAGTGCCCCAATTCTGGACATCTTATATATGGAATCTTATTTATGTGGTCTTTGTGTCTGGTTTCTTTCACTCAGCATAATGTTTTCAAAGTCTATCTATTTTGTAGCATGTATCAGTACATGATTTTTATTGCTAAATAATATTGCACTGCATGTATATACTACATTTTATTATTTTTTTTTTGAGAGAGAGAGAGACAAAGTGCAAACACACGCAAGCCTGAGCATGCACATGGAGGGGTAGTAGGGGGAGGACAGAGGGAGAGGGAGACAGAATCTCAAACAGGCTCCACACCTAGCTTGGGGCTTGATCTCAGGACCCTGATATCAAGACCTGAGCCAAAATCAAGAGTTGGACATTTAACTGACTGAGCCACCCAGGCACCCCTATACTACATTTTATCTATTCATCAGTTAATGGACATTAGAGTTGTTTTTAACTTTTTGGCTGTATGACTGTCTCAATTTTAAACATAAATATCAATAGTTCAACTGGTTAAGTGTATGATGCATATATATTATTTATTAACTATTCTTCTTAAGAAGGTCTGGAAGAATTTAAAAAGCAAGTCTTTTAAAACCACACCTATTTAGGATGGCTATTATAAAAAAACAAACAAACAGAAAATAAGTGTTGGCGAGGATGTGGAGAAATTAGAACCCTGTGCACTGTTGGTGGGAATGTAAAATGGTGTAGCCATTATGGAAAACGGTATGGCTATTCTTCAAAAAATTAAAATACAGAATTACCATATGATCCAGCAATTCCACTTCTGATTCTATATCCAAAAGAAGTGAAAGCAGGAACTTGAACATTGAACAGGTATTTGTACACCCATGTTAATAACAGCATTATTCACAATAGCCAAAGGTGGAAGCAACCCAAATATACTTCAGTGGATAAATGGATAAATGAAATGGGGTATATACACACAAAATGGAATATCATTCAGCCCTAGAAAGGAAAGACACTGACACATTTACAACATGAATGGATCTTGAGGACATTATGCTACGTGAAATAAGCCAATCACAAAAAGACAAATACTGTACAACTATACTTATTTGAGGTACCTAGAATAGTCAAATTCACAGAGACAGAAAGAAAATGGTAGTTGCCAGGGACTAGAAGTGGGTCAGAGGTATGTCAGTATCCATTAAAACAAAACCCAAAATTGTGAAAGGTGGCTACTTCAGAGAAATG